ACACATCCACATGGGAGAATAGCCAAGAAACAGTTGCAACCTATGCTAGCAAATCGATATAGCTATAGGAATTTGTGATCCATCAAAGTAGAAGCAAAATTTAAATTGCGGAAGTAGATGAGATAATCTATTGGGCGGGTTATAATGAGGAGAAGAAAGATATGGGCTGAATTTTGAGAATTATAAGCATTTCTAAGATGTGGAGAGAGAATAACTGGAAAATATTTGGGGAGAATTAGTGAGTTAGGAGGATCAGCTGGATAAGGTTTTATCACACAATCCACAGGAAGAGAAAAATTCCGGGAAGATACTCTTGATGTTGGGTGCATACATATTTATAGTCATTCTGTATTCCTATTGAATTGACCTTCTTGCCATTGTCTAATGACCTTCCATGTCTTTAGAGACAATTTTTGACTCGAAGTCTACTTTGTCTGATACTAGTATAGCCGGTCCTGCTGTTGTCTGGTTACCATCTGCACGGAATACTTTTTTATCCCTCACTTTCAGCCTATGTGTGTCTTTGAGTCTAAAGTGGGCATTTTGTGGATAGTAACAGTTGGCTCTTGGTTATTTATGCATTTAGCTACTCTGTCTTTTTACTGGGCGTGTAGCCTATTTATGTTCAAAGTGGTTATCGATAGAGGATTTACTAGCGTCATTTTGTTACGTGACCTATCGGTCCTGTGGTTCTTTTGTTCTTTTTCTCTCTTGCTGTCTTCCATTGTGTTTTGTTGGTTTGATTTTGTTCTTTTTTTTTTCGTTTTGTTTTGTTTTGCATTGATAGCTTTTAATTCCTTTTTCTTTCATGTAATTTCTACAAGTATTTTCTTTGTAATTACCAAGGGGTTTACATAAAATATAATAATCTATCTTAAGCCGATAAGAACTTAAGTTCTCTTGCACAAGAACTCTCTGCTTTTACTTCTTTTTCCACCAGATTACATGTTATTGATATCACAAATTACATCTATTTATATTATATACCTATTAACACATTTTGGTTATGGTTGTTTTTAATACTTTTGTCTTTTAAGTTTTATCGAAGAATTAAAAGCACCTTCCCCACCACCATTATAATAATTGAATGTTCTGTTTTTGTCTGTATTTTTACTTTCACCAGTGATTTCCCTACTTTCGTAAGCTCTCATGTTCCTTCTTAGTGTCCTTTTATTTCAACTTGAAGAACTCTCTTCAGTATTTCTTGTAAGACAAATGTAGAGATGATAAATTCCTTCGGCTTTTGTTTTTCTGAAAAAGTTTATCTCTCCTTCATTTTTGAAGGACACTTTTGTGAGGTACAGTATTCTTGGTTGGGAGTTTTTTCTCTTACTCCTTTTAAAACTCTCTCTTTGACCTTAGCTTTTGACAGTTTGATTATAATGTGTCTCGGTGGGGGTCTCTTTGATTTATCTTATTGGTTTTTCTCCCAGCTTCCTGGATCAGGATGTCTTTTTCCTTCCCCAGGTTGGGAAGTTTCTGGCCTTCTTTCCTTAATTCCTTCCTTTCCTTTCTTTCTTCCTTCTTTCCTTCCTTCTTTCTTTCTTTTTATTTTTTTGATACTGTTTTCTATTCATTATCCTTATTTTCATTTTCTATTTAAGAGTCTGTGGAAGAACAACTTACTCACTCAGTGCTAGTTGCTACCTGGTCGGTGAGCAGCGGCAGCTGCAGACCAGGCTGTGGTAGGGAAGTGCTGGATAAGCACAGGGGGCTCCTTCACACCTTCAGACTGGGCTGTGACTTTGGGTCAAGTAGCGAGCCGAAGCAGTCCATTCACCCCGAACGTCCTCCTCAGCCACAGCCTGTGTAGCAACAGCCTGCTCTTCCTTTTCAGTCTCTTCAAGGTCTCTGTAGAAGTAGAGATCGGGCGTGACCTCCTGTGAGTGTTCATGGGAGATGCTACCACACATGCACAGAACTTTCTCGGCCAGCACACACCCCATCAGACTCACCGGCCGAGCTCCCTTGTTGTTACGCTGGAGCGCCATCCACACGGCCCAGGGGAGACTCTGTGTTACACAGAGCAATGGTAGGCAAGTTAACGTAACACATGTCTGTGAGAGGCTGGTGGCAAGCCCTGGGAACAGTAAGCACCAGAATCTGCAGCTCGTAAAACACTGCTAGATCTGGTTAGTGAAGGTTCCAGGAGTGAAGCCGCCAGCAACAGGAGCGGCTTCAGTGACAGGAGCAGACTTCAGCACAGCTCGCTGGCCAGTATTCCTGAAGGACGTGACACTAACATCAGCCAGGTCTTCGATGGCAGCGATGGCATAGGCTGCCAGTACAAGCTTCTCCCAGGTTCTCTTCAGATTTATGATGTAGATTCCAGTACTTTTCCTTTTGTAGATGTACTGTTCCATTTGGAAGTCCAAGTTGATGCCACTTAAGTGGGTTCCTGCTGCAAGGAATTTAAGGACATTCTCTTTCATTTGCAGGACATCCAAGGCCCAGACGTTATGAACGTTTTTCTGTAAGTTATGACAGGAACCCAGAACAATGTCATACGGATCCCTCTCTGGGTAGCATAGAAAGGCTGGCCATTATTTCTTTGAATAAACTTTCTTCCCCTTTCCTTCTCTCTTTGCTTTCTGGAACTCCCAAAGTACAAGTAATGAATGGTGCATTTAATGGTGTCCGTTAAGTCCCTTAAAGTATCTTTACTCAATTTTCTTTTTTCCATTTTCTTTTCTGGTTGGATGATTTCCACTGGTCTGTCTTTGAACTCACTGATCATTTCTTCTACTTGAACTAGACTGTTGTGTATCCCCTCTATTGAACTTTTTAGTACTGTTATTGTATTCTTCACCTCTGTGATTTATGTGCTACTTTCCCATATTTTTTCTCTCTTGAAATTCTCATTTTGTTCATCACTGCACTCAGTGAGCACCTTTGTGACAGTTATTTTGAATTGTCTGCCAGGCAAATCATTTATCTCCGTTCCACTTGGATTAGTTTCTGGAAATTTATCTTAATTTCTTTATTCTTTTATTTCTCTGTTTCTTCATTTCCCTTCGTGTTGGTTTCTACGTTAGATAAAACAGCCATCTCCCCTATTCTTGACAGATTGGCCTCATGCAGGAGATGATCCTTGCCAATCAGTGCAGCTAAAGACTCTGGGTGCTTCTCAAACCTTTGTGCTTGTCCAAACTGCCATTTGTGTTCTGAGTGGCCCCTGGGAGATTAGGGTGTGCCACGTTGCACCAGTGCCCTGCAGGCACAGAAAATGAGCACGTGCCAGTCGGGCTCCCGGAGGACTACCAAATGCCTGCCCTCTCGGCTCCCAGGTACAAGCTAATTGGGAGCCCAACCTTCAGGCAGCAGCTGGGAAAGTTGGAACATTCGGTATACAGTCTGGCAGCTTTCACGGAGGAACTGGTAGCTGAGTGTTTTTATCTACTCTCTCTGTCCTGAGCCAGGGGGAATAGCCATTGGGGGTGTTTGTACATCCATTTAAAAATCTCTTTGTTCTCCATGATCTGTGAGACTTGCCAATGCTGATTTAGGAACTGGTACCTCAGGTGGAAGCCATCAAAGTTGGGGTACTACATGTGTGGACAAACTCCTTTCAGGGAGAAGCTAGAGTCTTGGTTTTATCACTGGAGCAAGCCATAGAGAGAAAGCACAGGAAATTCCCCCATGCTTATTCAGGCTCCTGGAAGACTAGTCATCATCGGCCCTGTCAGCCCCCAGATTCGGACGAAGCAAAAGCAAGACCCTCAGGCAGCGGCTGGGAAAGAATGCAGTCTCACCCTTTCCAGGGAGAACCTGGGAGACGGGTGTCTTCGTCTTCCCTCTGCCCTGAGCTTGGGGAGGGCAATCACAACGAGTGCTAACATGTTCATTTAAAATGACCTCTTTGCTTTCCATGGTCCCAGGGAAACACAAGTGCCAAGTCCCGTCAGCTCGGAGAGCTGGGTCATTTGGGCCCCAGGTGGCAGCCATAAAAGTTGGGGCATTAGATGAGTAATCCAAACCCTTCACTCCTCAGGGAGAAGCTGGGAGTTGGGGATTCCCTCCAGATTGTAGGACACTGTGCCAGAGGCGGAGTCTTTGGCACAATTGCGTCTCGGCTTTTCCTACCCATTTTGATGTGGGTATTTTCTGTCACCCAGTGCATAGGAGTCTCTCAGCTATTTTCTGGATTTCTCTCAGAGGGAACTGGACCCAGCGTGGCTGTGTATTTGGTGCATTCGCGGCAGGAGGGAAAGTCAGGGGCCTCCTCGTCCACCATCTTGCTTACATCGCTTCAACTTTTTAGATGTTTAAAAGTCATTCATGTCTACGGCCATGCCACCCTGAACAAGCCCGATCCTGTCTGATCTCGGAAGCTAAGCAGGGTTGGGTCTGGTTAGTACTTGGATGGGAGACCACCTAGGAAGACCAGGTGCTATAGGCGTAAAAAATAAAAAATAAGGGATTGTAAACTGATAAGGTCCTAGCAATTTGTGAGGTCAACCAAGGGTTGCCTCGCCTAAAAAAAAAAAAAAAGTCATTCACATTTACTTTCCTGTGAATAGTCTATTTGTGTCTTTTATACATTTGAAATTATTGACATTTTTCTTTATTTCTTTGAGTTCTTTATATATTATTAATTTCTGTAATGTGAGTTTCAAATAGATTTCATGTTTGCTTCTGGACTTTGCCCATATTGTTTTTGCCCTGCAGAAACTTTTAGGTAAGTAAATATAGCAATCTTTTTTACGGCCACTTGATTCTAAGTCATTACTATAGTAAATCTCACTAGCGAAAGACTACTAGAAGCACACTTATAGTCGAACAAATTTAGGTTCCCTTACTGCAGCAAAGGGAAATGTGCATCAGAGGAACTGGAGGGGGTCTCATTAAAAGGGAAGGGGATTATTAGAGGATTTTGGTTTTTGTAGGGGATTAGAAAGAAGTAGAGATTGGAAGTTGTCAGGAAATAGGGGACATTTGATGATGTGACATTTAAAATTTAAATCTTTAATGGAACTGATCATTTTTAAGCTACATACAAATTATTAAAACTGACCTCAGAAGAAATAGAAAACTGAAACAATCACAGTACTCATAGAAAAAATAGAAAAAGTTGTCAGAGATTCACTCTTCAAAAAAATAAGATAAAGCACCAGTCCCATATGGTTTCACGGGGACTATTCTATCAGCTTTTCATTTTTTTATTAAATTTATTAGGGTGACAGTGGTTAATAAAATCATATAGGTCAAGGGTACAATTCAATAATGAGTCATGTGTATATTGCATTGTGTGTTCCCCACCCAAAGTTCAATTTCCTTCCGTGACCGTATATTAGACCCCTTTTACACTTGTCTACCTCCCCACCCTCACCTCCCTTCCCTCTGGTAAGCACTAAACTGTTTTGCGTGTCCTTGAGTCTCCATCAGCTTTTTAAAGAGCAAATAAAAATGGTATTTAAATGTTCAGATCATAGAAAAACTACAGAAAACTGTCACAGAAAAATTAATAAAATCGAACAATATAAAATAAAAATAAACATATTAAAAAAATAAAGTCCACAGATAAGATTATATGCTATTCGTCTTTCTCCGTCTGACTCTTTTCACTTAGCATAATGCCCTCAAGGTCCATCTGTGTTGTCACACATGGCAGGATTTCCTTCATTTTAAGACTGAATAATATTCCATTGTATAGATAGACCACATTTTCTTTATCCAATGATCTGTTGTTGGACACTTAGGTTGTTTCCATGTCTTCGCTATTGTAAATAATGCTGCTGTGAGCATGGGGATGCAGTATCTTTTGAGTTCATGTTTTGTTTCCTTTAGATAAATACCCAGAAGTGGGACTGCTGGATCATATGGTGGTTCTTTTTTTAATTTTTTGAAGAAACTCCAGGCTGTTCCCCATAGTGGATGTCCCAGTTTACACCAGCAGTGCACAAGGGTCCCTATTTTTTGAAGAAACTCCAGGCTGTTCCCCATAGTGATGTCCCAATTTACACCAGCAGTGCACAAGGGTCCCCTTTTCTCCACATCCTCACCAGCATTTATCTCTTGTCTTCTTGATATTAGCCACTCTACCAGGTGTGAGGAGATATCCGGTTTTGATTTGCATTTCTCTGGTGATTAGTGATGCTGAGCACCTTCTCATGTACCTGTTAGCCATCTGTATGTAGTCTTTTGAAAAATGTCTATTCAGAGTCTCTGCCCATTTTTTAATCAGATTATTTGGTATATTTTGCTATTGAGTTGTATGCGTTCTTTATAGATTTTAAATATTTACGCCTTATCAAGATATGTGATTTGCAGATCTTTTCTCCCATTCAGTAGATTGCCCTTTCATTTTATTGATGATTTCCTTCGCTGAGCAAAAGCTTTTTAGTCTGATGTAGTGTGACTTGTTTATTTTTGTATTCTGTATATATATAAAGTTATATGTATGATATATATATATATTACACATATATCTATACATATCCTACACATTATTTTAATTGATTTAATAAAATGGCTTTTTCCTAATGACATTTGAATAGGCAACTTCCTCTAATAAAAATCTACCTCAGGTACAAAGTAGTACACAACGCGTTGGCGATGCCAGTTACGGTTGTTACTATTGCATTTTACTACAGTGGGCTTCAGCTATAAAGATTTTTTAGACTAGAAAAGAAATAATCCTTGTTGGGAGCTCTGAGTATCAAACTTTCTTGGCAGCACAGACTAGAAGACTTTAGGTTTTCTCTCTCAGCCATGTGAACTGGATGCTCAGCGGAATAGTCGCCTTGGATCTCTTGCTTATGGTTACCATCTCGATCCAGGTTAGGTCACGAATCGGCTATTGTCCTCAGTCTGACCCCGTGCTGAACCACATGACAGGTCGCGAATTGCTCATCATGTATGCCAGGCTGCGGGGGGTCCCTGAGACAGACATTTACAAGTATGTGGAAACCTTCTTGCATTCGCTGCAGCTGGAAACCCATGCCAACGAGTTTGCCTGCACATACAGGTGACGTATTATCTTATTGCAATTGTTAAGCTGCCCACCTGGGTCTCCACCGTTTAGGATGAATGCCCGCAAACTCAACCCGATCCCTCTGTCACCTGACACACAGAGGCAGTGGCTGTGAGACATTCCAGTGTCCCGTCAGGGTTCAGATGTCAGGCGTAGCGCAGATCCCGCTTTTGTGAAGTTAACCTTTTGCAGACATGAGCTATAGCCTTTGCATTTCAAAAAAGAACACCTTCATCTTATCTCCCCGTGGTTCTTTAGCTCCCCCAAACAAAAAATGATGCTGAAATAAATTTCATTAATAACAATGCCGAAATAAATTACCAGAAAAGTCATTTCAATAGAAATGAGTTGATATACATATCTCGACTTGGGCCTGCTGCTTTGTGATTCATATCAAATCATTCTGGATATATGAGCTAATTCTGCCCTGTGAATTAATGACATGTGGACCCTTATTTTTTTCTTTCTCCTCCACTTTCTCTCTCCTTTGATGATAAAGTAGAGGAATCAAACGTAGATTGAATACTGCTATTGCCCTAATGGGAAAGTCATCAATTGTCTTCCTGGATGAGCCATCGAGTGGCATGGATCTAGCAGCCAAGCACCTGCTCTGGGACACAGTTACATGTATGTGCAAAACGGGCAAAACTATCATCGTAACTTCGCACAGGTATGGCCCACTGGGAGGTATGCTCGAGGGTTGGAAGGGTAAGAAAGGAATTCATTGGAGCCAGGAATGTAAATTAGTGGACTTGTCTGAGTATGTGAGCTCCATACGAGGTACTGTGGGGAGGGGCCACTTCTTGGCCAAAGCCAAGAATCCTAAATTGAGTTCTGGAATCCAGAATTGACAGAAGATAGGAAATTAGGGAACTGCTCCTATTGTGGATTCAGGAACCAACTGCTTTGAATTTTTAAATTTCCTCTTCCAAAATATGGACTTAGTGGTGATCACCTGCAATACAAAGCTTTCCTACAGCAAATATTACTTTATAATCACAGCTCTATTTTGCAATATTGAATTCGCACTCTGAAAGGGAGTCTCTTCAGCCATATCTCCTTTGCTCCCCCCCACAGCACGGAAGAATGTGAGGCCCTCTGTACCAGGCTGGCCATCATGGTAAAGGGGAGGTTCAAGTGCCTAGGCAGCCCTCAGCAACTCAAGAACAAATTTAGTGATGTATACAGTCTGACAGCAAAGGTGAAGATTGATGAGGTTGAAGATAAACTACAAGAGTTCAAAGAATTCATCGCAGCAACATTCCCAGGTAATGTAGACAGGGCTGACTCGCGACAGATGTGTCAAGTCACGTATGTCACGAAAAGAAACGCAGTGCCGCTGTACACAACAACAGGGATGAATCTCGACAATATGAGCGAAAGAAGCCAGGTGAAAATAGTACATACTGTGCGATTGCATTTAGGTGGTGCACAAAGAAGGCAAAACCAAACTATAGTGTTTAAGGTTCCATACTTAGGTAATAAAACTACAAAGAGCAGTAGGGATTAGGAAGTACAAACTGATAGTTACAGAGTCGTCACAGGGATGTGAAGTACAGCACAGGGAACACAGCCAACAGTATTGTAATAGCCATGTAGGGTGCCAGGTGGGTGATGACTTATCAGGAGAATCACTTCGTAATTGTATAAAGGTCTAACTGCTATACTGTACACCTGAGACTAAGATAAAATAATATTGAATGTTAACTCTAATTGATAAATACGATTTTTAAAAAAGAGGCATACAGTCTTAACAGGGGCACTCAGTTCTGTTCCTGAACGAGAGGATAGAAAGTGAAATTCGCTAAAAGGTATAAAATGCAGTACTTCATGGAGGAAGTATTTGAATCATAGCGTTTGACTTATGCTCGGCAATGTAATTTTATAATACTGTACATTCCACAGCCATGTGATTTCAAAACACCATTAACATGAATAAAAATTTAAGTTACCCCTCCTCCCCCCCCAAAACTATAAAGAATATCGAAGAAATGCTTACCATAAAAATCAAGATAGTTGTATTTAAGAGTGAGAAAGTGAGTCTTGCTTGTGGCGCATCAGTGACTTTTAGAATGTTGGCTGTCAGTTACATGTTTGTTAACTTTATTATAATTTACTAAGCTGTACATTTATGTTCCATACACTTTTTATATGTTTGATATATTTCACAATTTTAAAAGTTTTTAAAATTTTACTTACTCATGGAGGCTATTTAGGGACTCATGACAAAAGAAAATAAGTTATATATATGACATATAGCTTATTTATTTTAAATATTTTAACCTCAATTAAATTCTTTTGCAATAATCTCCAACTATGTGGTAATAGATATGAATGCCTCCTATCAGTTGGGAAGGGTTACAGTATTACTGCCATATTTTCAAAAGCTGTAATATCTCATTGCTCCAGTGGACGCCTTCACGTCTGTGTTTTATATACATGAATCTTCTTTCTTTTAGAATGCAGATTGCCGAGTCATGAGAATAGTATAGAGAGCCCACCACACACGTACACACATGCGACTGGAAAAGAAACCACACCCACATTTTACAAGCATAGTTTCAGGACAGTTTAGAAACAGTTCTGTAGAACATTAGGATTCATATGCATTAGGTTTGGCAAAGTGAGCATGGAGCTGTCAATTTTCCCATGCCTAAAAGTGATTATCGTACCCTCTGCAATTCGTACAAACTACAGAAAATAAGACCATATTTCACATGGAAGTGACTCTATTGAAATACTTAACGAAGTCATACATACTAAAAAGAATGGACTTTGGAATTTTCTTTGTATATTCTCTCTTCCAAGGTCTTGGACAACTGGAATGGGAATTATTGGAGGATTCTATAAAACTCTATCAGACGTGAGGCCTTGTCCCACCTGTCCGATCTTTCCTTTTGTAGGTAACATCATACACAAGGAATATGGAGGGATGATTGTCTACCGCATTCCCAAGAAGGAAATTTGCTGGGGAAAGGTGACTATGGAGACCATACCTTCTAACATTACCTATCAATAGAGGACTGATAGGAAGCACTGGGACATTGGCACGTGGAATGGGAACCTGATGTTGTCAGAGGGGAGCGTTCAAGTTACTTGTCAAAAGCCCCTTTGACACTTATGACCCTAAATTCCATTATCCTTCACCTATTAAGAGACTAGGCATGGAGAACTACCTCCTCTTCTCTCTGTTTTTCAACCATCTTTTCCTTCTACTGTCTGACTTCCCCCTCTCTGTCTTTTAGTCCATAAGCATCAACCTGGCAGGAGTTGGGGGGCGACTGGGTGGGGAGAAGGTTCATCTGGGGATGCCACAGTGGTAACGCTGCCATTTTTTTTTTTTTCTGTTAAAGGTGTTTAGTATTTTGGAGGAAGCTAAAGTGCTATTCAATTTAGAAGACTATTCCGTCAGTCAGATAACACTGGAAGAAATCTTCCTGACCTTTGCTAATACTGATAATATGGAAAGTGATCAAGAAATAAAGCTGCTATGAGATTCAGTTCCAACCAGTGACTTTTATGTCTTTCTTAGACGGCTGCCTGCAAGTAAATACATAGAGGCACCTCTCTCGTCTCTTTTTCTCCTCCTCTCCTCCTCCTCCTGTCTCCCTCTCCCTCTCCCCGCTCTCTCTGCATGTGGGTACACAAATTGAACCCCCAAAGAAGAAAGTTTGTAATCTTTGGAGATTAAGATAAGTGACCTGAACCGCGAAGGGTCTAAGATTTCGCCCTACTTGCAAGTTATCACGTTAGCTTGCCACAGTTTCATGATTACTGGCAGAGGCATTGGAATCCTGAATCAAAGACACAGGACTCTATTACGACAAGAGCAGTAGGCAGAGATCATATTTGTGCCCGTTCCCCAATCCCTAATTTTCACAAGGCGACAGAGCCAGGTCATGCCAGTATATTCAGTGGGTTGTATTACGAGAAAGGAACTGTGACCTTACAGTAAAGGACAGTAAGTCAACCTTCCCTACCTGTGCTCTGAAAGAAAAATTCTTATACTAAATATTAAGTCGGTCTTCCCTCTGGTCCAGAGGTAAATACTCTTTCTTCAAAGGCCATTTGCTGTACAATCATCCTTGCAAAAATAGTCTGAAACGATGAGGCAGTTAGTCTTCTGCTTATAAGTCACACAGAGATGCAAGCAACCTGTGAAGAATTGTCTCCCAATAATATCCACCCCTTGTTTCCACTCTTTGGCTGCTGGCATATTTCCCTATGAATATGCCACCCCATCAGCCATTCCCATTGATCTGAGATTAGGACCAAACATATTTGTCTCATACAGTTTTTAAGGCTGCTGTCAGCCTTTTAGATTTCATTGATATCATGTGGTCTAACTGAACACCATAAGCACTAGAGCGTGGACAACTAGACTAGCTCCAAAATACTCATTCCGAATAAAATGTTAATCTCCAGGTCCCTCCCTTTCTGGTCTTTGGGATCTTATGACACAAGTGAGCTCGCTTGGGTTCTCCCCTTCCTGACATCAACCAGTGAGGTGCAAGTCAAACTTACTTAGATCCCACTTACAGCTAAGAGAAACATGAAGCAGAGTTTTGCAGACAAAAGGGATGCGTGTTTCTGCTGAATAGGAAATGCACAGACCCAAGAGAAAACGGGAGAATAAACGTTACCTAGAGCACTCTGACTTAAGATCTCGACCACTTAAGTGAGGGGTCAAAAATAACTGTGCCCCCTCAGTTATGACGGAAGCCATCGTAAACATTTCTGAGTCCTACTCTCTCCATTAAGGAGCTCGAAGTCGAAGACAGGAAAAATGTTGATTATGGTTGAAACAGGTAACAGGTAAATAGGAGTTTTTTACATTACTCTTTTAACTTGTGTTTATGTCTGAAAATGCCAATGTTTCTTCTTTAATCTAGTTCAGAGAGATAAACCATGAACGCAAAATTATCAATATAAGGCCGTAGAGTTCAGAGGACGAAAAGACTCCAGGCAAGAGCGGCATTTGCCGGGGTGTGAGGAGGAGCCATAATTAACGCCTCGGGCCCTAACCTGGCAGGAGGGCGGTGTTCCCAAACGCCTGCTTCGTCCCGGCTGTAGTGCCGGTCCCTTTGACGTGTCCCCGCCCCCGCACGCGCACGCGCGCCCGCCCAGCTCCGGCTCCGCAGGCCCTCAGACTCCGTAGAGTCACATTCGCTTCCACACTGAGGACCAGCGGGGCTTCGCCGCAGCGCGCTCGCCCGGCCCCCCACGCCTGCCTCTTCCTCTCCCGGGGCTGTCAGCGGCGCCCGTGCGGACCAGTCGCCAGGACCTCGTTTTCTTCTGCAATCAGATGGTGAGGGTGGCAGAAACCTGGCACGAGCTGCTCAGGCAACCAGGAGAAACTTCGGGGTGTTCTGCTGCCCGCACCCTGGTTTTGGTGCTAGACTGGGCGATGGGCATCACAAAAGAGGAAGAGAGACTTTGACATTTAATTAGCAGCGGTAGCGGTAAGCGGACATAAGCGATCTGGAGCCTCATCCGGGGAACCCTCTTCTTCCCTCCCCCTTCGCCTCCGTTTTTCACCCTCTTGGTCACCCTTTCTCCTTCTGTGTCCTCCGTTCTCAGACCTTTGACTGCTTCCCTCCATTATGAGGCTTACCGCTCCAAGCATTAACTTTTCAAGGGGTATGGGCAAGGACAACACAATACGACACTAGAGCTCATAGGTCCAGGCTGCTGTCACCGTCATGACGTAACTGGCTACAGGACCGCTTGGGTGCTGCGAAGCGTGAGATGGGACGTTTACGACGCCGGCCACCGCCACACGACATATTCACACGTATGTGAACACCGGCATCCCATCTCGGCCGCGCACACGCCCTCCAGGTATAAGGAGCAGTCCCGGAGTCAGGTAGGGCGGGGCATGACGGGGAAGTGGTACGTCTGTCCACAAGATGGCAGTCGAACGTTGTCGCCGGATAGGACATTTTGCAATGTTGCAAAATTCTAGATAGACATTATTTATGCAGCTGTTATCATGAATTATGTTCCAGATCCTACCACATTTTGAACAGAATTTTTTATTTGGGTCACAGTTATGTTTTGATGTATAAGTGGTTTATAGCCGAAGAATAAAGGAACATTCTAAATAAGGACATATGTGGGTGGGTGTGTTCCGGCTAACCTGAACTGTCATGATGAAGTCCAGTACAGCTAATTTTGGGGGAGGGATAGTGATTAAAAAGTACTAGGAAAAAATAATAAAAATACATGAAGTACTGGAGACAGGTTTGTATGTTATGGTCATTTGAATTTTATCCTGGAGAAACAGGGATCCTGGAACATGTTGAAGCAGGTGGGGGACTCGATACCAGCAGTGTTTCCCACGCTTCGCTCACTGGTGTAACACCTCCCTAGCACCTATAGTCAATTAACTTAATGTTGCTTAAACCAACTTTTCTTTTATAAATGCATTTAAAGAAGAAACTCGTTGTCAGCATCGCTTGCCATTTTATTCAAAACAAACATGTAACTATTAAAACGGAACAACCTTCATTTATATACCTGTGGTCAATTAACTTAATGTTGCTTAAACCAACTTTTCTTCTTTTATAAATGCATTTAAAGAGGAAACTCGATGTCAGCATCGCTTGCCATTTTATTCAAAATAAACATGTAACTATTAAAACGGAACAACCTTCATTCATATACCTGTGCTGGCTGGAACATTACTGCTCGGCTATCGCCCATGGGAACATAACGCTCTAACAATAAGCTTTCTGCTTCTGTACCCGCCGCTTGCACAACCGACCTGTGGGTTGACAGTAAAAAGAAGAAAAATAGACTTGTGTGTTCAAACAGGATGAAGAATGGGGTTTAGGGCTTAAAAACTCTGTACTTCTACATTTTGGGGCTGCTTGATTTGGGGTCTGCGTACCCCCGGCAGACCCAGCTGGCTGAATAAAGAGTGTGTTTCCTATAACTCACTGGTTTCTGGTAGTCCGTGTGTCTATCGGGGGCTGGGGCTACAACATACCAATTTAAAATCATCTCATGGTCCGTGTGTCTATCGGAGGCTGGCGGCTACAACATACCAATTTAAAATCATCTCATCCGCCACTGCTGTGAGTCGGCCGCACTTCGGGTAACTCCAATTTTACGGACTGAGTTAGGGGTGCCCTCTGAAAGCACAGAAATTGGGGTGGCGCTACGTTCTTCAACACCGGAGTCCTGCTAGACAGTTGTAGGCGTGGAGCAATTCGGCCACCGGCCAACGAGGACAGAAGTTTGTGCTTTGTACCCGCTAGAACCCCAGCCCTTCCACATGAATCGCTTCGGGATCTGATGCAGCGTGGGACCTGGAAAGCCTGCCTTTCTAACAGGCTCCTGACATAGTTGCTGTCCGTTTCCCAACCGTGCGATTCGGCAAGATACGAAACAGGAAGTCCCCGAAGGGCAGGGACGGCGCCTTGACCTCCTTCCTGCACAGTGTCTGGCAACAGCTTGGTTAACACTCGTTTAGGACAAGTGAATTTTTCCCCCGAGAAAGTCACATGACCCAGTGCACAGGCTTCGGTCAGAAGTTTCCCACACACCCGTCCTATTCCAAACATGTTTTCTCAAGCGAAAGCGACAGCTTACTGTGTACATAACCCCAGCCACGGGGGCAGAGACCGGAGCCGTGAGGGTTCCCCGCGTCTCGGACTCACCTACGTGTGTGCCCGGCCAGTCTGGCGTCAGGCCAGCGAACCCGCTGGACACGGCCTCTGCCCTCCCGGCGCTAGCCACTGGTGAGGACTTGACCCGGCCAAAGGCGATCACGCCGGCTTCGAGGCCCGATGCCTGCGGCGACACAGTCGGAGGCCTCGGGGGAGCCGCACGGCTCGGGCGCCAGAGGCTGGGACCCCGGGGACAGAGGCTGCTTCACTGGACAGTCCGGGTCGCGAGCACTCAAAGTGATGCGGGGAGGTGGCTGCCGTGGACGTAGACGAAGACTGCAGAGTGGGTGTCCAGGCCAGGGAGAGAATCCAAAACGGGCGACCTAACTCATCGGCTGGACGTGTCCTCGGGAATCCGCGCGGCGGGACAGAGAGCGCGCGGGGGGCGGGGC